CTCAATCCAATCTTCCCAATCTTTCCCTGTAGAATAGGTGGGACTATAGATGTGTGTCACCATACCCAGTCACTGTCTTTTTTTTTTTATTACTTTATTTATTTTTGGTCAGACTGGAGTTTGAACTCAGGGTTTCCCACTTACAAAGCAGGCATTCTACTGCTTAAGCCATATCTCCAGTCCATTTTTCTCTTATTAGTTTGGAGATAGGGTGGGGTCTCTTGAACCAGTTGCCTGTGCTGGACTCAAACTGTGATCCTCCCAATCTCAGCCTCCCAAGTAGCTAGAATTACAGGTGTGAGTCACAGATGCCCAGCTGTACCTTTATTTTATTTATTTATTTTTTGATTGGTTAGGATCTTTATTTTTTCTTTTATTATTCATATGTGCATACAAGGCTTGGTTCATTTCTCCCCCTGCCCCCACCCCCTCCCTTACCACCCACTCCACCCCCTCCCTCTCCCCCCTACCCCCTCAATACCCAGCAGAAACTATTTTGCCCTTATCTCTAATTTTCTTGAAGAGAGAGTATAAGCCATAATAGGAAGGAACAAGGGTTTTTGCTAGTTGAGATAAGGATAGCTATACAGGGAGTTGACTCACATTGATTTCCTGTGCGGGGGTGTTACCTTCTAGGTTAATTCTTTTTGATCTAACCTTTTCTCTAGTTCCTGGTCCCCTTTTCCTATTGGCCTCAGTTGCTTTTAAGGTATCTGCTTTAGTTTCTCTGCGTTAAGGGCAACAAATGCTAGCTAGTTTTTTAGGTGTCTTACCTATCCTCACCCCTCCCTTGTGTGCTCTCGCTTTTATCATGTGCTCATAGTCCAATCCCCTTGTTGTGTTTGCCCTTGATCTAATGTCCACATATGAGGGAGAACATACGATTTTTGGTCTTTTGGGCCAGGCTAACCTCACTCAGAATGATGTTCTCCAATTCCATCCATTTACCAGCGAATGATAACATTTCGTTCTTCTTCATGGCTGCATAAAATTCCATTGTGTATAGATACCACATTTTCTTAATCCATTTGTCAGTGGTGGGGCATCTTGGCTGTTTCCATAACTTGGCTATTGTGAATAGTGCTGCAATAAACATGGGTGTGCAGGTGCCTCTGGAGTAACCTGTGTCACAGTTAAACCTTGTATTTAAAGGAAGCCAAAATATTATTCGAATCCTTAAATATGACTTACCCAATGAGACTAGACTGTTTAGATGGAAAAATAATACACTTCTTTCCTTTTACAGACTGATGGAGTTTGTGATGCTGGCACTTATGGAAGGCAAAGGGGAGAAGCAAGTGGAGCTAGAAAGAGAACCCCCTGGACTGGTCTGGAGTGAGGCATACCCATAAGAGTTGTCCTCCATTGGGCCATGAGAGCCAAGGCCTTATTCCTGGGCCTCCATCTGGCCTAGAGGCCTCCAGCTCTGAAGATGAGTCAGTCCCTGAAAGGGTTGACAGCTGAGGCAACAAACCCTTCCTTGAAGGGAACCTGGTTGGTACATTTCCATGTTTTCCATAGTTGTCCAATTTAAAATGTCTGTCGGCCATATGTGACCATTGCATTGGCATTTGAGAGCACAGAATGGCCTTAGTCAATGAGACATTTCAAGTCACATTCATCAGGGAATAAAAGAAAAGGCCTATGGTCTCATAGTCTTATGGTAAAACAGACTAAAACATTTTATTAATATAGTGAAGACTTAGAGGAAGACAGAGGATTTTGACATTGATCTGTTGGCATGTGATGTCCATTTCTCATGAGATGCTGTCTTTCAGCAAGTCTGGCTGGGTACCTGCTCACACATGGAAACAAGCATCACTAAGTGAAGTAAGTGATCCTCCAGAGATGTAACCATACAGCTATGGGCAAAACTCTTCCCAGTCCCAAGTTTCTCCACTGTTTTAGCCCCTAAAGAAACAGGATGTACCTGTACTCGGAGTCATGAAGAGGGCAACACAGACAGGATATGGCTTTCCTTTATGATCTAAGCCTTCCAGCCACCACTACCCCTTCTTCCCACCCCTACGTATTTGGCCTTCCATCTTGGGCAGCGCTCTTGCTCAAGGATATATGTTTCAACAGGGCCTAAAGAAGTAACTGAAAGGAAATCAAGACCTTAAATTCTCCAAGGTCAAAATGAGAAATCCACTTATGCAAACAGTCAATTAGTACAAATGCACGTGCAGCCTGCTCTACCACCATGAGGTAATGTACTGGGAAGATTAGCAAATACTGCAGTTTGGAAGAAATTCAACCACTACTTCATCAGGACCAAGCAGGGTTGATTTGTCTGTCATTCTAAGCTTCTGGAGACAGTTCGGGAGATTACTATGGGTATAGACTTAAGGAATTGGTCTAAGAAGCTGGGATGCCAAGAAAATCAATTAAGTTCAAAAAACTATCTTCCACTCCAGTAGCAACTCATTATTATTAAATGCTTATAAACGAGGAAAGTGAGATCAGTTTATAGGAGGCTTTTCCTCCACCATTATGAATTATTATACAGATGGCTAAGATGTAAGCTACAAAGACTGTAACACATTTTAATTTCTTTTTTTCAGGCATAGTAAATGGGGAAGGCAAGGGAACATTCCAAGAATAGTGTTTGTAACTGATCAATGTTTTCATTTGTTTTTTTCTCCATCCTTAGGGTTAAACACTAAAATAAGGCTAAATATGTTTAATTTTTAAAGGATATAATACAAATTCCATAGTAACTTAATATCCAATAATGTCTCAATTCTCTCAGTTCCCAGGGCTATTTTGGAGTCTTTGGGGGAAAATATAACTCTTTTTCCTCTTTCTCAGCTTTGGTATACTGCCATTAGCTTTGCCCTGTCTCCTTGCACTCTTTTCAGCCCATTCATCTATGCAGAATCCAAGATCCTAAAAAGAATGAGGCTCCATTGGCTGGTGAGGGGAAGGGAAGAGAATATCCATGACTGTAGGGAGCAGAAATCTTGGACCCTAGTTCTGAATTTAAGACTAAGTGTGTAAATTTGAACAAGTTCCTGGATTTCTGTAGGCCTCCACTTGTTCATAGGGAGAGAAGAAGCTAGATACTAACAGCCTTCCCAGTCCCTCTGTCTTGTGTCCTCTAATGCTCCAAGCACATTCTGCTTATTTCCATGGGTGAGGGGAAGCTTTGACAATAGACCATGTAATGGGATTTAAAGAGGACATTTTCTACGCCTACCAGAGATTTTGGAAGATATGAACCATATAACTCCCCCGTCTCCCCCAGTGATGAGTTTATAAGAAGGAAAGAAAGACTAAGGTTTGGTAGTTGGGTTCTGGTGGCTCATACCTCTAACCTAGCTACTTGGGAGGTTGAGATCAGGAGGATCACGGTTTGAGGCCAGCCCAGGCAAGTAGTTCGAGAGACCCCATCTCCAAACTAACCAGAGCAAAATGGACTGGAGGTGTGGCTCAAGAGGTAGAGTACCTGCTTTGCAAATCCAAAGCCCTGAGTTCAAAACCCAGTCCCACCAAAAAAAAAAAAAAAGAAAGAAAGAAAGAAAGACTGGTGTTTGGGAGTATAGATTGCATACTCTCAAAGTGAAGTGAGATTTCAAAGCCAAGAAGAGACATGTTAAGGCTAGAAATATTATTTTTGGTTTTTTATTAGCAACATGAAACAGTCATAAACATGACCAGCAGTTAATTCTTTCGTTATCAGTTAAGAATTATAACCATTTAGCCCAGCACAGTGCTTCACACTTGTAATCCTAGCATTTGGGTGGCCGAGGCAGGGAGTTTGAGGCCAGGCTGGGTGTTTTTTGACACCCAGTCTCAAAAAACAAAACAAATCACATGGACAGTGGGTGAAGTCTATAATCCTAGCTACTAGGGAAGCAGAGATTAGGAGCATCATGGTTTGAGGCCCAACCCAAAAAGTTCACAAGACCCCATCGCAACCAGTGGCTAGGTACAATGGTGTGCCTGACACCCCAGTTATGCCGGAAGCACAAATAGGAGGACTGTGGTCTCAACCAGGGCATGAAATGAGACCCTATCTAAAAAATAACCAATGCAAAAAGGGCTGGCAGAATTACTCCAGCTGTAGAGTGCCTGCCTAGTAAGTGTGAGGTCCTGAGTTCAAACCCAATATTGTCCAAAAAAGAAATAAAAAGAAATATGAACATTTACCTTTCACTATTAGATTAAGTTCTTTTCATGACAAAATTTCTCCTCATCAAATGGTCTAAATTGCCATTTCACCTTTGCTTTCAGAAGAGAAGAACCTCTAATTTAGTGGACTGGCTGACTCTTTCATCATGAAGGTTAAAAATCAAGGTCAAGATTTCATTGTGTTTCAAAGCCACAAATACAATTTTAACCTTGCTGGCTTTCTAAAAACTGTGAAAATGGTGCCAAAGAGTATAAAAAAATCATCTCTACAGGAAAAGTAATTCACAGGTTGACTGTGCTAACAGTGGGGAACACTGTCATCTCTGGTTAACCAGGACAGCATGGTGTCAACGTTGCCCTGGAAACTGAGTTGTCAAGTCAGGTTGGTATTAGGATGTGTGCAGTGGACATAGCAGTATTCCGGTGTCAGGAATATTTTTGCAATGGCCATGGAGGGCTGGATCAACTATGGCACAGAAACCATCATTTGTGAACACTGTCCTGCTGGTTTTTTAGACTTCACTACTGGATGCATACTTTCTTCTAAGAAAAGTGAAGAGGTTAAAAGGGAGGTGAGTTCACTATCTCTAGCATCCAAGGAAGCCAGAATGCATTAGATTTTGTGTTCGTTGAGTAGACTAAATTTTAGAGTAATAACCAAATTTCATGAGCCACTCCCCATTTGAAAAATGTCCCTACCATGCATTGTGAAACCCTATTGCCTTCTTTTTGGGGGACTCTTCTTTCATGTCATGGGAGACGTCTAAGCACAAGCTACATGGTTGTTACAGTCCACATTGTAGTATGATATTGAAGAAAGAAGAAAAAGAAAGAGAAGGGGGAGAAAATACTTACATAGCCAAAAATTTGAAGATACTCTCTTTTTATTTCAAAACATGGGACTAACTCAAAATTTGAGCATCAAGAACCAAATATATTGGAATCAAATGTTCAGAAGATGAGCCAGGTCACCACTATGGCAACAAGCCTCACACGGACAAGTGGATGTTAGAGAATGATTCCCGTAACATGGCCAAGACTATATAGCACACCCACAAAGAAAGTCATACTTGGTTGTCTAATTTGCATGCATGAGTACGGTGCATTCTCCGTGCCACTAGTATGTATATGCCTTTTCCAAAGTCAGTGCAGGATCCGTAACTGTGCAAGTCTTTGCAAGTCTGCTCCCTTATAAAATTTTTACCATAATTTATCTGCAAGAGCCTTCGGGTGACAAATTCTTTATGCCACCTTTACTTCCCCAAAGTAATTTCTGAATAATAATTATGGCAGTCAAGAGTTTCAGAATCATGTAAAATAATCCATTTGTTAGTTATTTTAATGTCAGTTAGCTGTCTGTGAGAAAACCTTGCTAAACATATCCACATGCTTGTTGTTCAAAGTTTGAAATTGGTAACCTTTAGACCAAAATGACAAGATGAAGAAACAAAAAAAAAACCAACAGCTGTCCCAGGAAGAGTTGGGCTTTCCTGCCTTCCAAACAATGTCTTCCCTAATATGCACCAAATAGCAACAGCCTGACACACTCTTGCACGGGGCCCCACATTTTCCCACTAATGCAAAATTGTTGGAAATCCAAACAGCATTCAGAGCCAAAGGGGGAAATGCCTGAATGTGAAAAGGAACCAAAAGAAATTGTACCAGGGAAAGGAGATGGGAACCAAAACCAAGTTCCCAGCATAGCTTTCTCTGTCAAGAAGCAGAGAGTCTTTATTACTAGACTATGCAGAATCCTGCGGGAATTGCTGTGCCTTTATTTGCCTTAACTCTTTTCTTGCCAGTCCTTCCCTGGCTGATGATCGGTCATTCCAGCCAGAAGCCACACAGCCATGCAGCAGGCCTCAGGAGCTGCATTCCTCACAGTGACAAGAGAGGATGTAACGGTAGGTGGCCGTGATTCGCATGCCCCCGGAGCAGCGCAGTCGCAGGGCCTTCAGCTTGGAGGTCTGGGGCCGGCAGCAGTGGCAGGAGGAACGAAAAGGTTGCCTGAGGACAGTGCTGAAGGACACCAAGGGCTCCGAGCGCGATGCCTGGCTGCAGTGCCCCTCGCACCTGGCCAGGAGCACCATCTGGGGAAAGAAGAGGAGGCGGTTATCCCATGGAGATGCCAAAGCCTCATACTTTGAAAGGCCCTAACACTCCTTGCCAATTCCTGCTGAATTAGACCAGTGACTTCCATCCCTTGTGGCACACAGAATCTACTGGTAAACTTTTAAAATAGCTATCAGGGCCGGGGATGTAGTTCAGTGGCTGAGTGCTTCCCTAGCACATGGGAGGCCCTGAGTTCCATCCCCAGCGCTGCAAAAGAAAAAGTCAAAAATCTAGCCCTGTTGAATTAAAATCCTTGTGGGTAGTGCCCAGACTTTCATGGTTTTCCAGAACTCTTCACTGATTGTGAAGTGTACTGAGAGTTTAGAAGCATTAAACAAGGCCCACCACCATAATGTACAGATAAAAAAGTCTAAAAGCAAAAGAAGTTTTCCTGACGCATTGCAATTCTACCAGTAGCAAAATGCAGAAAGCTATTAGGAGTTGAAATCAAGGAGCAAAGAAAGAGTAACAGAAAAAAATAATTGACTCTTTCAGGGAATGGTTAAACAAAAAGAATGTGGTTCCTGAAGAAGAAAAAGTAGGAAGCTGAGTGATGCTCAGGAAGAAATATTCTGGGCACTGCAACTTGGGACAAGAGAATCAAGTAGAGACAGGTCACGTTTGGGGCCCTGAGATGACATTCCTGGGTTTGTACCTTAAAGGAGCCTGGGGTTTGTGCAATCTCATGGGCATCTTCAGGGTCATTTATGGCAAATATTAGGACATATTCATTCCAGCCATCTCTATTTCCAAAGGTTTGGAGTAGAGTAGAAGTTGTGTGTTCTTTATAGTGGCTCTTAATCTGACTCCTTTAAGAATCTAATAAAAATACCAAACTTACCCTCAGAAAAATGTCCATAAGCACACATTCAACGTGTTGCATACAACTTAAGGAAATGGATTAAAGACTTTTTTTTTAAAGAGCAGAGAAAGTTTTATTGCCTATAGCAGTAAGGAGAGCATGGGAGTCATTTCCAAAGCAGTGCCCCTGCAGAACAAAGGAAGAGTGGAGATTTTATTCAGGGAGTCTACAAGTATTCCCATAGGAAAGCAATTTTCTGAGCATACTCAGTTTAAAGTCATAGTAAAAGAAGGAAAGATGGTGGGCATGCTCAGCTCAAAGACACGGAATTCAAAAGGTTAAAATGATAGAGAGAACTGCTTCTGGGCATGCTTAGTTTTTCCAGAAACTTTTAGCTGGAACAAAAAGATGAGTGTTAATATAGGAGTTTTCTCCTAAAGGTCAAAAGGTTCACTTTTATATTTCATACAAATATCCTGGTTTCCTGGGAGTGGAGGTCATGAGTGGGGTGGGGTGGGCAGCTTGATTCATGAAGCTATATAACCTTATATACCAAGGCAAGGAAGGCAGTAGGGAACCTGAGATTAGTGGTCCATGTCTGTGTAGGAGGGTCTTGGTTGGTGAATTTCATATCAAAAGTTGCCCTAATTCCAGAACCAACAGCAGGATCATAAAAAGTAGAACTGTTCAAATGAAAGATCCAAAGATACATATATATGCATGGAACCTTTTGACATTTACCTTACAGTATTTTGGGAGTTAGCAGTTAGTATGAAGGACTCACAGCTATTATCTCTGACATAGAGAAAAACCCAAGAACTAAAAGAGGGAATGGTCAGTACATCTTTCCAAAAGGAAGGAAAAGATGACCTCTGGTAATTATAGATTATTAACATTATTATCAGAGAATATCCCGGGGGTAAAATCCAATAATCACTTAGCAACCACCAAAGGAATATGAACTACTAACAGAAAAAAACATCAGGGCTAGGGAAAGAATAAGTTGGACTAGACCAACTAGTTTATTTTCCTTGAAAGATCACAAAGGCAGAAAGAAAATGATAGCAGTAAGCTGTTTTTATTTTTATTTTATTTTATTTTTTGGCTGTACTGGGCATTGAACTCAGAGTCTCACACTTTCTAGGCAAGCACTCTACTACTTGAGCCTTTCACTTTTTGGTTTGTTTTTCAGATAGGGTCTAGAACTTTTGCCTTGGATGGCATCTTTATCTTCCTACCTCCATCTCCTGCATAGCTGGGATTGCAGGCAGTCATCACCAGCTTGTTTTTGAGATAGGGTCTTGCTAACTTTTTACTTGAGCTGTCCTCAAACCACAGTCCTCCTATGGCTGTCTCATGAGTAGCTGCTGCTTTAATTTTTTAAAGCTTGATTCAATCCTGCCTGTTCTTCACATTGATAGGCAAAATAAACATGATCTGAAACAGGTTTGGGGAGATTATGACATAGGTCAGCAGCACACTGGCCAGTCTCTGATGTCCACCCTCATCTCTCTAATGAGTGAGAGATAGACAGCAAGATCTTCTCCAACCCATTCTTGGAGCAGTGATAAATTGGCTGATCTCTAATCTAGATAATTTATTACGGGGATTAAACAGTTATTCAGAGTCACGTCCCAAAAATGGAGTTTTCAAGATTCAGTTTTGGTCTAACTTAATTAAGCAGGGCTAAAGGGGACGTGGGACGCCACACCCAAATCATATACCCAAACATAGCCGTAACTGACTAAGCTATTAGCTGTACATAAAATAACCAATTCCACAGTCTAGAGCCATTTGCAGATTGTGATTTCACTAAAAGTTTTCAGGATGTCAAGATCCACCTTTAGCCCACTGTGAAGGTCAAGAACTCCAGCATCAAAGGACCTGGGGCTACCTCCAAAGGGCCTAGCTCCTCTTCCTTAGGAGCTGGACTTTTCTGCACAAGAAGAATGCACATACATGTACAATAAATACATCCATTGGCTGCCCTTAGCCTTCAAAATAAAATCCAAACTCCCAAACTGGGATCAAGGTCCTCCATGACTGGGTGTAGAATATCGTTTCAGTCTTCCAGCTGTTCTTCCCACCCACTCCCTGCTCCAATCAAGCTTAACTACTTAGGAGTCCATGGAACTGCCCCAAATTCTCCTGCCTTTCTTCGTGATGTCCCTCTCCCAGGAATGTCCTTTTCACCTCTGCCTAATGAAATTCCACCTGGCTACCCTGTGGCCCAATTCAAATGCCTTCCTCCCAAAGAAGAGAATGAAACAATGACTGGACTCTTGATCTTCCCAACAGACAGACAGACAGACAGACAGACAGACACACACACACACACACACACACACACACACATTTCCTCTCTGGAGGAAACAAGACCCACCAATGTTGCTTCTCCCATTCCTTCCCTCATCAGTAACCTCATCTCCAGGGACCCAGGTCAACCTCCAAAGGATCTGTGCCAGGCTGAGGGCACCAAAAAACAGTAACCAGGGAAGCTAAGCAGCATGGGGGTGGTGGGAGCTTTGAAGGGTTGGTGGGAACTCAACTCACTCCAACTGGAGTCTTGTACCATCCCTTGAGTCACAAATGAAATGGACAAGCTGGCAGAATAGCTCAAGTGATAGAGCACCTGCCTAGCAAGCATAAGGCCCTGGGTTCAAGCCCCAGTACAGCCAAAAAAAAAGAAGGAACAAATGAAACAAACAAGAAGAGACCTTTGCACTTCCCTTCCCTCTCACCCGTTTACCTGTAAATATTATAGGTTTCTAGCATCTTCCATAGTGCCTATACATAGTAGGCATTCAGTATAAATTTGTTCCTAGTTGAAAAATAAAGTCACATCTCTCAAGTGGCCAATTGTGTTATAAACTCAATTTTCCTGACTTCACTCATTCCTGCTATACGATGAGCTCCTTAGGCAGAAGGAAATAATTTAAGGGAGTCCTAACAGCTCCCTTCCAATCCTAAGACTCAGTCCTTGGTATCCCATGTCTCGTCTCCTCTGGGAAATTTCACAGGCTCTGTCTCCTAAATCCCCCTCCTTTTTCTTGATTGCTACCCTTCAGTCAACATCTGCCCCCGTGCCCTTCAGTTACCATCTGTGCTCTGGTTCCACACCCTGTCCTGAGGCCACCTTCTCCCACTTCTCACCCAATTCAGGCTTCATAGGCCTGCCTTGCCAGCTCACTTTTCCAACATGAGTTCCTAAAATTCCCTCTCTGGCCAGGGGACCAGAACTCCTTGCCTCGGTTCCTCCTTCCTCTACTCACCTGGTAAGGCAGGTCAGCCACCAGGGTCTGTTCCTCATTTATCCTCCTCTTAGCATCCAGCACAGAGGTCTACACTTACTTTGCTCTCTGTCCCATCCTATGTCCAACAAGAGCACAATAGGGCTCACTTTCCTAATCCTTGAGGCTATAGGAGATCCCAACAGTTATTGAGGTCTCAGTAGTGACTGAAATAGAAAAGTGAGTCAAAACACCTGTCCAGTTTATAACTTCATCAAGCTCATAACATCATTTATTAAATGTCTATTATACGCTGGATACTGAGTTGGCTGCTTTTACATGTTATCACTGGCACTCACTCATACGTACCCACACCCTCGAGTAGACAGCTCCATTTTGCATGGGGAGAAATAGAGGCATTAAAGAATGAATTAGCTTTTCTGAAGTCACCCATTTGACAAACCATGGAGCTGGAATTGGAAACCAGGTCTCTGTCACTTTGAAGCTTGGGATGCTTCAATTCCCTTAAACGTTTCCTAGCAGCCCATTTCCACTAACAACTCACCTTTAGTCTGTTTGATCTACAGTCTTTACTACTCAGAATTTCAGGAAAACATGGTCTTCTGGGAAGATTGTAAATGAACCTACCACTCCCAGGACCTTTTGGACCCAGTCCCAGGAGGTGTCACTAAATCTAAACGGTGACCACACTGCCCTCCTTGGTGGGTTACCCTTTTCTGTCTTATTTCATTTCAATCCTTTCCTGAATTACTAGGAGATGGGTGACAGGACCCTGAAGTTGGCCAACTGCAAGTTCAGAGATGGGGTGAACAGGCAGTCTCACTGGAGGCTTCTAGAAAAGCTTCCACTACTAATATTTCTTTTTTTCTTTCTAGAAAAATTGCTGGATATAAATCACTATTGCTGGCAGACCTAAAGTTGGACTTGGACTTCTAAATAGTGATTCCTACATTCTGCTTGCATTCCTCCAATACTAAGAGCCATGTAGCAGACAAAAGAATGACCAGAGGCAGATATTGCCATTCCAGGGCTATAGGGCATCAAGTAATCTACTTAATCCTTTTTCTGGATTTTGGTTTTTCTTACCCGTAAAATGGGAATAATAATGCCTGCCATCACAGGTGTGTTGGCAATGATTAGCACATGGAGTGTAAAGTGCCTGATACCTATTAGCTGTTCAAAGTGGTGCCCTTTCTCCCTAAGCCTGTGTCACATGTATCCTTCATCTGTCTTTACAAGGTCAGACACCAGATACATGTTAAGTCAAGAAGCATTAACTGAAAGGCAAACAGCAGGCATGTGTCTAGTAAATAATGGCCTTCAGCATGATTTCCATGAGGGAAAATGTTGGTAGAGAAGAAAAATCTACCCCAGTCTCTTTTTTCTAGACATAGGTTAAATGTTTTATCCCAAGTCTCTAAAGGCAAACAATTTCATTAAATGAGATCCACTAGAGAAAAGATCAGCCTGAATCTATGAAACTTAAGAATTATAAAATATTTCCAAATGAAAACAGTTTTCTTCCTAGATACATAAAGAAAATTTAATCCAAAAAAGGTTTGGGGTGGTTGAAATTCTGCCAGGAGTATTTTATGGCCAAGGAAGAAAGGTTTATAATTACAAGAGCCATTTACATAAAACTATTCTATATTTGGAATAGTTTGGGATATTTGAAAACAGATTGTTCCCATGAAATCACAAACATTTCTTCTATTATCACAATTTTGTGCTGCTATTTACTGTGGCATTCTGGGAGAAGCAAAAGTGAACAGTAATAGACTCCAGTCTGTTTCTAAGAGTCATGCTCAAGTGCTGTAAGATTGAGCGAATTGTCTCCTTTGAACTTCCTTGGGTCAATATGCTAGTTGCTAAGGCAGTCTTCCATGATTTTGCCTAATCTTTCTAGATTGTTTTTGACATTTGTTTTTATTTATTTGTGGTTTGCTTTTGTGGTGCTGGGAGTGCTAGATCTCACACATATTAAACAAGCACTCCACCACTGAACCACATCCTCAGGCCATTTTCAAGTTTTTAAAGATGCTCCTATTTTCTTTCCTTTTTTTTTGAAGTTTAGAAAGAATTTATTTAGCAAAACAGGACAAAGTAGGGAGAAATAGAAAGGGAAAGAAGAACACCTTCTGTCTGACATGCAAGAGGTGGGAGCAGAGGGGCTCAAAAATTGGCATATGTTTACTCTGTGGAAATTTCTATTTTCTGTGCTCTTTCCTATCATCACAATGTCACTTTCTTTAAAATAATTTGAATTCCTTTTACAGTATCTGCTTTGCTAGTGTGAAGTCTTGAGTTCAAACCCCAGTCCCACCAAAAAAAAAAATAGTAATAATTTGAATTCTTTTTTCTTTTTTTTTAAAGAATCATGATTGTGGCAGATAACTCAATAAGGGAGAAATGGTCCATAGGATGATAAACACTAAATATTGACGGGAAAGGGGAGGAGAAGATAGTAATTACTCTTGTCAACCCTACTAGGTCAGACAATTTCTTTCTTTCTTTATTTCTTTCTCTGTCTCTCTCTCTCTCTCTCTCTCTCTTTCTTTCTGTCTCTCTTTCTTTCTTTCTTTCTCTATCTCTTTCTTTTCTGGAGATTGAACCCAGGGCCTCACACATACTAGGCAAGTGCTCTACCATTTGACCTACACTCCCTAGGAGGTAAAATTTCTAAGCAATCAGGCTCTTAAAAATGTTTCTCATATTTTTTCTCAATTTTTAGTTGCTTTTTGTTATTGTTGTTTTGTGATGCTGAAGATAGAAGGTAGGGCCTTGCATATACTAGGCAAGTGCACTACCGCTGAACTCCACCCCTTGCCCCTAGTTTCCTTTCCCTAAGAAGGAATTTTAGCCTTGCAAAAATTTATGTTCATCTGATTACTCCTTATTGTTTTAGTTCTACACGTATAAATAAGAGCCAGGAATTTTCTTCAGTGGAAAATCTATTTCTTTTCCTACAGCCATAGGTCTTATTAATATAGAGGTTAAAGTGATTTAACTCAAATTTTGATCCCCCCAAACTAAAACAAGTCATCTTCATTGGACTATAATCACAGAAATTGTGGAAAATTTAAAAGAGACTGAAATTGTAATGTTTTTAAATGGAGGGTAGAGAGATTGACTTATATGGCCTTAATTCTACTAGTTAACATTATAAAAAAAAGTCTTAATTACCCTGGTAATTTAAAAAATACTTTCCATATGAGAACGTTTAAGTGGTTTTAGTCTCAGGACTAAAGTGAAAATCTCTGAGGTTGTGCTAAACAAATTCTTATTTACCAAGTGTGGACACATTTCATTCATGTGTATTTGGGGGCAGTGACGGTCATGAGAACTTTCATTTGGAGTCCATTCCATCCTACAATGTGCCTCCCTTCTGGGTGGTCCACAGGGCTAGCCATTCTTGGTGGCCTTGTAAGCCTGATATTCCCTTGCACACCTTGTCTTAACACCGAGGCCCCTGAAAGAATGACCTGGATAACCAATGCAAAATGAGAACTGATTAAATTGACATCTTAGCTTTCTAATCACTTTAACATAAATGTGGCACTGGGAGAAAGGCTCAGACCACACAGCCAGTTCCTGAGGTCACCAGGAGTCTCTTTGAAGAGCTCTCTAAGAAGTGGATTCTGTTGCTCAATTTTACTCCTTGCATTCCCTATTTTTTTAAACTGCTGATGGAAGTAGAAGGAGTTACAATAACTTGTAAACTCAATTTTTGTTTCTCAAAAAAGGACACTACTGCTCATGAATTTCACAGCGAAGGACAGAAGACACTCCTCCAGTAGGATGAGTGCACACATATTCCATTAGCTGACACAAGTACAAAGCATGGTGGGAAACTCTAAAAGCAGGATTCTCCCACAAATCCTATGGTGCAGTCATAATTTGGGCTATCATCATATTCTCCCTCCTGTGATAAACAAATATGGCTTCTCTTCTGTTTCCAGGGGAGAATTGTTACCCTCACAGAGACCTTGTTCTTACCTTTGAGCTACACTTGTACATTGGGTGACTGATAGAATCAACATAGTGGTGTCTCATGCAGCGTCGAGGGTCCGAGTCCATCACGAACGAGCTGTCTGTTTTGCTGTCTGTATCTCCCATTAGTGCCAGCAGGGAGAGCATAGAAAAGGATGCAGCTAGTACATGATTTCTCATTGTTGTAAGGAAAAACTTCTCCAGAGGAACAGCAGAGGGAGACAGAGGACAAAAGATTGGAAATTCCTTCACCTAAGATCCAGTTCCTTTCAAGGCAAGGGCAGGATCTGGCTGAAGCTTTCTAGTTGTCATTGTCCTTTGTATGGCAGAGTCTTGTCTTACTCTTTGCATTGACAAGCCATCAGCATAGTATCTGCTGCACAACTGGAATGAAAACAGAAATTAATTTCCCCAGAAATATTTACCCAGAAACACTAATGGAACCCTGAAGGATTAAGTAGAATTTTTCTATGACATTTTGATGGGCAATATTGGCTTCTAGAGTGTCATTAGCATAAACTGTCATTCACCCCACTCCCCTATCTATGCATATGCTACATATTTATAACCATTTGGCTGTGGACACAAGGATTTACTGGAAGTGCATGTTGAATTTAATTGCTGGAGTACATGCTCATCAAGGCAAGAATAGTTTGAGCCATGGTCAAGATTAAACATGTGGTTCTGGCCACAGCATAACTAAGTTGGGTGGTCTTATCTTTATCCTGGTTGGTAGGGGCAAGAGGGTCTATTGAGTTTCTCAGGAAACTTTGGTACCAACATCAGCTTACTGGGCTAGAGAGAAGGCCGGTCAGCATTAATGAATGCAGGCTATGTCCCACAGGACCACATTTTTCCACTTCCAAGGTCATAGCCACCCACCCAGCCACCCACCTAATGTTCCACTTGTGTGCTCTTGGCTCATCCTGTTTGTGTTTTAAGCTCCATGCCACCCAGCATCAATGGCAAACTGCATCTGAAATACATATTATGCTTCCTGGCCTCCAGCACATGTGAATTTCCCAACAGAGTCACACATTTCTTCAGAGCCTTTGTAGTCGGAGCCCATAGTGTAATTTGCAAAAGAAAGTGGTCATTGGAGCAGAGACTTACCATTAGCATGGGACCATGCTATACCAGCTTTCCTGAAATGTGCTTTGTTCTTTTAATCATACCTCTTGGTCAAAGGACTGGAGTGCAAAGATCTCAAATCACCTCACAAACCCCCCAGGCATGGCCCACACTGATGCTTTTTATTACACCCAAAGACAGAAAGTATCAAAAATATTTTCAAACATTTAGGAAAATTGGAAGACTTGACATTACATCCCAAAAGAACTGGATAATTAAAGCTTCGGAAATCTTTCAAAGGTATTTCAGATCAAAGTTTGATTGTTTTGTTCATAGTACAACTGTTTTTTTTTTAACTTCCTACTGATGAACTGTGTGAATAAATAGGGTGAATTATTAATATGATCAAGAGTAGAGGCTCGAGTAGGTATAAGCCAATTTGTTTTGCCCTAAGAGTGGCTTCAGACCCACCTAGCTGTACTTAGCTATATGCAAGTGTGGGGCAGGGAATCCTGAGTGGAAAAAGGCATGTGAGACTAGGCTGTTTCAGAGCAGAGCAATGGCAAAGGTTGAGCGCCTGTGTTTCAGGGAATTCCTACAAATTATAGGAAGGGCAGAGACCAGTAATGAGCCCCTCCCATCCCCGGAATAAGTCATGACACTGCCATTAATCAGCTTGCACACCTCACTTAAATCTTTCCATCCCATTTCCTCACCTGAGTGTAGGGGAAATGACAGAGATGGCCCCTGCTGCCCCCTCCTGCTCTAAAATGCTACCAGTTAATAGCAGCTATGGATTTAGCTACCACCATCTCTGTATGCAGAAGGCAATTCTAAAGTCGAGGAGACCCTATTTTCATAAACCTTGTACTGCCTTCCTTACTGTCCATGCTAATGACAACATCTCATTAAAATGAACCAAACCTGTGCCCAAAGCTCCAAGTCAGTAAAGAATATGGAAGAACATTTGTTGAAGGGTGATTGGATTTGATCAGTGTACACTGTATACCATATGAAAATATCACACTGACCTCATGAACATGTGCAATTAAAACATGTTAATATGACATTTTAAAAAGAAGTGTCTTTTTTGTTTTCTTTACAGCTGCATAATATAGGTTTTCCTATACACAGGGCTTCTGAAATTCACCAAGACTTCAGCTCAAAGAGCCAGAACTTTCTTGGGGTCCATGTTCAGAAGATGCATTATTACTACCATTTCCTGAGTTTCAATATGATCCAATTATCCCAAGTGGTTATCTGTCCCTTTGAAGCCTTAATTAGTCTCAGAAAAAGAATTGATTTGATTTCTCTTTTCAGCACTCCAGTCTAGAGATATTTCACCCAGGAGTCAATGGCAAAAAGAATGAAGGGAAAAGCAGACATTGCAGGTTGGCTCTTCTGCCACTACCAGCAACTTCTCTTCAGTCAGAGCCAGGAGGTATAGTTAAATGCACAAAGCAAATTAAAGAAAACATGTATGGAATGATGGCAAAACCAAGTAACAACATCAATAACGAATCTCTACAGGTGGGTATGTATAGTTTATTTGTTGGCATTTCCATTTTCTCCACAGTAAAGGAAATATGAAGGGCCCTTAAATATAGAAGATGGACACTGTCACTCATTTAAGGGAAATGCAATACTTTTATCAATCCATCAGATTTATAGTGATACCAAAGTCTGATCAGGTACCCAATTGGCAGGCCCATTTTTGGAGACAGTACAGTATAAATTGGTACTAGCTCTGTAGAAGCCAACTTGGCAATATATTTTTGAAATGCAAATGTGTGTAATTAAGACCCAACAATTCCATTTCTGTGAATTATACTACATGTGAAATCACACAAGCACCTGGCATAAAATTGGAAACAGCACAAAATATCCATTAAAAGGGGAGTGGTTAATTGTATTATACACCATTCATACAATGGAATACTAGGCAACTACATAAAGAAAGTTGCAGAAACTCTTTGCACTGAATTGCAAGCACAGTTAAAATGTTTTTCCTGAGAAGTCAATAAAACGCATTTGTAAGCAAATATGAACTTTATACTGATAAAGAGAAAGTTACTGTTATGTACGATGTAACTTCTCTTTAGAGGCAATAAGTCAAACCCACAAGTAGTAATAAAGAATAAGAGTAGCAGAGGAAATGTTCCACCCTTAGTTCTGAGATTTTTCACTTCAGTACACTCACGAAGCATAATTTTGGTCAGTTTTTATATTAAGTATTGAAATAAGGACAAAAGCAATATGAACGTACTACAGACCTCAAAGAACCCTCGACATGCAAAGGTAACATTCTTGCAGCATAGCACTGGGATTTGGATGTGGTTTTGATGTTTGGGTTTTTGTCTTAAGTGTTCAAATTGAATGAACCAACACAGTTGCATGGAAGAAGAAATAAAAATAAAGCTCAAGAGAAGAGCAATGTTGAGTGGTGTTGTCTTGACATTGTGTCAGTAGGATGTACATAGGTGAGAATACGCAGGAGGGGGCTAACAAGGGGAAAATCAGGAATTAAGGATATTCACACCACTGGAATCCTTGCTTTCTGGCAGCCTAGAAATATCTCTGCTTTATGGGAGCTTCTATCTTTTGCTCAATACTAAATGAATTCCAGCTTGTCTTAATATATTTTTTTAAAGCCACATGTCACAAAATCAAATGTTGCCTATCAAGACTTCGAACCTCTGCCCGGGCAATGATGAGTTGAATGAGACAACTGCTCTCTTGCTGAACTCAATAGGCCTGTGGCTGCTCTGTGCTCTGAGTACTGTCTCTGAGACGTGGACTTGGCTTCTGTACAGAGCCCACATTCTCGTAGCTCCAGTGCAGAGCCTCTGGCGGCAGGAGAGGCACGTAGGCCGGCGTGCCCGACTTTGGAGCCACCCTCCAAACGCTACCAGTGGAAAAGAACAACTGGTGCCCAGATTTCCCCACCTGTCATCCTCAGCGAAATAATATAGCAGCCTCCTGGGTGAGAGATGGTGTCGTGCCCACAGATCAGTTCACTCTTGGGCTGACCTTCTGCCTGGCAGAGAGTAAAATACTGGTTTTGCACAAGTGATTCCAGCCTGATCCTCAACTAAGGCAAGCGGCACATGTCAACAATGGCCTTATTCTTGCCCTGCTTGCCCGGCAAAGGAGGACAGTGTTTTAGCATCCAAATTTCTCCCTGGGCCACATTTAGTATTAATATATACATGTGCTCCCTCCTGCAGCCTTTTTAAACAAATATTTATTCAACACATATTCATTGTGCACCAATATGTGTCTACTTTTACTCTAGTAAATAAGAGATAAGGGTCAGGAAGACAAAGGGTGTAGCTCAGAGGTATAGTGCATCAATCCTTACTACCAAAATAATTAAAAATAAAAAAGAGGTAAGGCTCAGAAGAAGCAATAGGTCCTATCCTAGATCACTCTTCTTGCTTGTTACATCTACAAGCAAAGAATCTTATTGCTTTCCTGGGTAATTTTCTGGACACATTGATAAACCCCCTTAGTATGGAATTCATATCTAACACACTGCATCATTTCTAAAAAGATCAAGTGAGGCAGATCAAATATAATGACTTTGGAATGCACTCAGTGTATCAGAGAGAACTATTTGATATTTACTGTCATTTTTTTAAAATTATAATATGAAGCAGGAATAAGGTAAATATCACAGAACACAGAGCCAAGGGAATTGCCACCAGAAAAAAAAATCAAAGATGTACAAGTGTGGATGAAAGCTTGCCACTAGATAACACTTTTTAACAAGGATTGGAAAAGCAACAAACTCTAAGTCATATTCAGAGAGTGCGAAGTGTTATTTAGCTCCTTCCCAGGAACCCAAAGAATTCCAATGGGATCTAGTCAACTAGATGCCTTGGAAAATAAGTCAAATGTTTCTTCCCAAGGCACTTAATTTATAAACTGTAAACAGCATGTTAAATTTTACAAAGCATCCCATGTGCTCAATGGCTGGTTTTTAATATTATTCCTATCTGACAGCGCAGGAGTAGCAGCCAAGAAGCAAAGCTTAGGCTGACCTAGAAGCAGTGGTCCTCAATGGAAAAGCTGCCAGCCCCCAGCCTGCCAACCCCAGGGATCTCCAAGGATGGGCAGCCACAGGGCAGTGGGGAGTGAGCTGTTCCTGCCCCTTTCATCTACTGGTGTCTGATCTACAGTGGGAGGCAAAGGCAGTCCCCATAGTGCTATCTTAGGAGACAGAAGACCAATACAACATCCTTGCAAATAATCAATAGTCCACCAGTCTGTAATAGGACTCTGTGTTCTCCCAGTCTGCCCTACTAGCCAAC